GCTCGAAAGCGGCCCGCGGGGAGGGGAGTAGCCTACCTTGGGCGGCCGCGGCACGAGGCCGGGCAGTCGTTCGCAAGCGAGCCGCAGTGCAGGGGCGCAGCCTACTCCGCGCGAGGCGGCGCCGAGCGTGGCCTCTCTCCTCATTGGCCCTCCCTCCGCCTCCCTCCCCGCGGCTCCCAGGGACCGCGGGTCACCCAAGGACACGAATTGGGCCAGAGATTGTTCCTTAGGTGACCCCCATCCTTGTGGCCCACGGCGGCCGCGGGGGGGGGGCAATCCCTCAAAGATCCTTCTTTCCTCCTCCTCGCTTCCTCCTCCTCTCTCCTCAGCCAGCCCCTGCCCCTTCTGCCTCCCCCCTTCGCAACACTTCGTCCCTGCTCGTCGGCACCTCCCCCCAAACTCGGGGGAGGGCAAGGTTCATTCGGCTGCCAGAAGGTGGCTGCTGCGACCGCTGCGCGCAGACTGCCGCCCGCCCTCTAGGAAGCCGGCTAGGGGGTTGCTGGCCGGGTCTGGTCCCCATCTAGCAACCCCCACAACAGGCTGCGAGTTGGGGTCTCCCCAAGCAAAGGGTGCCCCCCATTAGAAATTCTTCGGTTTCCTGCTCCATCGAGTAATTGTTAAAGGCGGCCCGCTGCAGACCTGGAAGCAAGGTCAGTGATCCTCTTCCTCCTCCTCCTCCTCCTCTTCCTCCTCCTCACTTCTTGTTTATAGCCCCCCATTTAACAACGCCCATGGCTGGATCCATATAGACAGATCGCACTTGGTACGGCTCGAGACCCGATGGCCTGGGGGAGGGACGCCCCTCTCTCACCGTGCGAGGACGTCAGCCTCCGGTACCTGGGCCCCCTGCGAGAGGCGCCAGCCTCGCGACGCCGCGTGGGGGGGTGTCAGTCGCGGCGCCATGGAGTGCGAGGAGAGCGCCGGGGGAGGCCCAGAGATTGGAACCTCGGGCTGGCGACTGCAGTTGACGGCGCGCACGGGGGGGTAGCGCGAGGGGGACGGCCTTTCAGAAGGTGGGGGGTGCTTCTAAAAAGGCAGGGGCCTTCATAGAAGCCCTCCCGGCTTCTAGCAAGCCTTCTTAGAAGCCTCCAGGCCCTTCTAAGAAGGCCCCTGCCTTCTAAGAAACGCGCCGCCTTCTTAGAAGGCTATCTCCCTTGCGCTACCCCCTTGTGCGCGCCGCCAATACAACGTGTGTGGTTACGCCGTGGTGTGGTTTGCGATCGGCGCAGCTTGGGCTTGGGGGGTCACCACGTTGCGCCAGAGGTTTGACGAGCCCTCGTCGGGGCGCGACGGGGATCTCTGTCGAGGTCTTCGCCCGCACCCACAGGCGCGGGTTGCAAACCGCACCCTGTGCCAACCACACCCTTCGAAGTCGCCGATCGGGGCCCGCCTAACGGGGGGCGGCGCTGACCGTGGTCAGCCAATCCCCTCTGGCTGACCCGGGTCTGGGAGCCACGTAGGGCCGATCCCCCCTTTCCGCCCTCCGCCAGCCCAGGTTCAGGAGCTGCTCAGCGGCCGAGCCGACTTCGCAGCAGGGCCTTGGCCGACACAGGTCTGTGCTGGCTCGGGCCAGTGCGTCCCCGGGAGGTTTCTGCGTCCGGTCTGGAGGTGCGCTTCTCCATTCTGGAAGGTCTCGTGGCATCAGGGTCCTCTGGGGAGAGCGGCGTGGGCGAGGGAGCGGCGTCGACAATCGCCTGGGGGCTGCGGCGGAGTTCGCTGTTGCAGGCCTGGTGATGCCGAGGGGGAGAAAGGCCGTTCGTCATATCATGGATGCTTTTCTTTCGTTCTGGATGTTCCTGGAGGTTTGGGATGCTGTAGGGGGAGCGTGGGGAGGGGGTACGGCGTCGACCATCGACTGCTTCTCTTTCTCATCTTCCCTTCTCCCCACTCCTCCTCCTCCTCCTCCTCCTCCTCCTCGTCCTCCTCCTCCTGATATTGCTCCATCTCTTTTCCTTATAATGAATTCCGCCCGCTCGCACCCCGAGGTGTGTCGGTAGGGCGGGCTGGTCGTTTCGCTTGAGACTTCTTCACCATGTGCCATCCTTAAGCTGAAACTGTTCAAGAGCTTCACGGATGGAGGACGGGCCGTTTTCGAAAGAAGGTTCTGGCTTTAGAGCCGCGCACACTCGATTGAAACAGATGCAAGAGTTCCACAGATGGGCGGCGGGCCGTGTTCAGAATGTGGCTCTCGCTTGAGCGCCGCGCACACCCGTCTTACACATTTGCAAGAGTTTCACGGTTGGAGGGCGAGTGGTTTTCAATATGTGGTTCTCGCAGCAGCGCCGCGCACATTCGTTTCATCAAGTTGCCAGAGCTTCACGGATGGAGGGTTGGTGGTTTTCATAATGTGCGTCTCGCCTCAGCGCCGCGCACATTCATCTTCAACATGTGAAGTAGTTTCACTGCTGGAGGGCGGTTGGTTTTCAAAATGTCGTTATCTTCCTCGCGCCGTGCACATTCGTCTTAACAGGTTGTAGCAGTTTCAAAGATGGAAGGTTGCTCCTCTTCAGAATGTGGTGTTCGCCGTAGCCCCTCGCATTTTCGTTTTAAGATTTTCCAGCAGTTTCAAGGATTCCCATGGTTCACTTCCCAGAGATGGTGTTTTGGCACGATGTCGGACTGTCAGGCGCAACAGTTGCTTTGATTCGCGGTGTTGAAGTCTCAGGAGTGGTGTTCAAGCACGATTCAGGGTCGTCAAGACGCAACAGTAACGGTGAGTCGCCGCGTTAGAGTCCAAGGAATGGTGTTCTGCCACAGTTCAGGATTTTCGAACGGTTGTCTTCCAACGGGGGCACTTCCACCAGTGAAAATGAACCCTTGTAGGGGCCTGCGAAGAGAGAACTTGGAGGGAGGGTGTGTTGCAATATCGTTGATGAGTCCTGGGCTTACACTGGTCCTCCTCCTCCTCCTCCTCCTCCTCCTCCTTCGCCTCCTCCCTCCGCCCCTTCCCTCCCCCGCATCCTCCATCTATCCCTCCCTTCTTCTCATGGAGGCTCAGGCTCCCATTGGTTTGATTCGTCGGGCCACGAAGTGCAGCAGGGGAAGGACAGTCCCCAGCCTCCAGGGGAACGCCCTGGGGATTTCTCGCCCGAGTGGGGTTGCCCCTGTCGGGGCGGGAGCCGAGAATGCGGAGGCTGCCCTCGTTTTCGCGGTCTTGGTGCGCTTCACGGGCGCCCCTTATCAGGGCACACTCTTGAAACACGTGCAGTGGGGGCCCATGCCAAGAAACCCTGCTTGCCTCCAGGGTGCCCTGGGTTTCTTGGGTTTCGGTGGTTGTGCTGTGGAAGGCGTGATGTTCCCACACCGAAGCTCCGTGGACGTCCTGGGGTCTCAGGGTTGGGCTTCTCGTGGACGGTTTCTCGTGGCTAGGGTTCTGCCAGTCAGGCGTAAAGTTGCCCCAGGGGCCCCGCGAGCTCCGCCGCCGCCCTCCCCCTCCCCCATCCCTGTCGTTGCGAGACCGTCCCGAGCGTCTCCCGTCACCGATACCCATCGGCCGTTGAATTCCCAGAACCCAGTCTACTTTCAGCGCCTTCCTACTTCAAGGATCAATATGCTTCTGCCGTGTTTTGCTCTCTGGGAGAGCCTGGACCCACTCTACTGTATCCGCCGTCCTACTTCATGTTTTTACCTACGGCAGGTTCGTGTCGTGTCGACCGGCGGCGACCCCGTCAGCGGCGTTCAACGTTGAACGCCGCGGGCGACCCAGAATCGTTCGATATGGAACGATTTGGACGTTTCGGAAACGGCCGATCTTTCAATGTTGAACGATCCCCGCGGTGTCAGAAACCAACGCCGAAGTCGGCATGACACGAACCTGACGTGCTGCTTCCGACCGATGGGCAGTTTCATGTTTACCACACCGTCCTGTCCACGACCTTCGCTGCGGCCGCCTGGGCCCAAGATCATCGACGTGTTCACCGCCCGCGCACCCCAGTCGGACGAGAAACCGTACAGTGGAGGCCAGTCCACAAGAAACCGCCCACAAGAAACCCACCTCAGGACGTCCATGGATTTCTGGCGTCGGAACGTCGCGCCTTCCATCGCAAAACCATCGAAACCCCAAAAACCCAGGGCACCCTGGAGGCAAGCAAGGTGTGTTTCTTCGCATGGGCACCCACTGTACATCATGATCCTTGTGTGCGCTAAATTTCGCACATTTGTTAGCCACGCCAAGCTGAGCGATTAAGCTGCAGAGCAGCAAGGACGGAGCAAGCGACTGGTTATCTACCGAATACCGAGATGTTAAGGTGGACATTCGTGCCAATGAAATGGCAGAAAGAGCAGGAACCTATGTTTCCAGGGAGCGGGAGGTAATATCACCCATCAGCGCGGAAACACGTCATCGTTTCATCGGCAGGCCGGAGGAGAGTGTAGCGGGAAGTTTGGCGCAGAGAACGAAGCCTTGATGTTTCGAAGTGGTCTCACTGACACCAGCTGCGTCAGCCAGCGCGAGCTCAATTGGCATACCAGTAAAGCGTCAGGCCCTGATGGCCCGATAAGCTTACACTACCAGGGACAAAATGATACAGGGCTTATGGCATGTATCCCATTGCGACCCGTGCTGTGCCGACTTCATGGAGTTCGATGCCACCCTGGACAACATGCCCCCGATGCAGATAACGGCACCTCATCCAGAAAGGACGGTACAATTGGGAAGCGCCGAGCGCCAGTGATGACAAGTAAGAGTCGGACAATGCCCGACAGTGGTTGAAGCCAGGTCGCGTCACAGCACAGAGACCCATGACGCTACCACCGAGATCAACGATATCCGCAGTGCCGCGCTCAGTTGTGCTCAGCTTTTGGGCCGCGGCCAAGAAGGACATGAAAATCTATCCATTTAGCTTTCAGAGGTTCTCACCAAGGAGTGGCGACGATTCCGATGCCACCCAGTTCGTCCCAGCCAAGACCGTAGGGAAGCGTGTTTTGACACCACCTTCTCAAGGACGCGAAATGAGACAACCGCAGGCAGCCATTCAGAGGTCATCTTGACATCCGTCGAGCTTTTCTACGGCAAGGAGCTGCATTGGGTAGAGATCCACGGCCGTCCCAAGGACAAGCTGCGTCATTTGGTTGCCTGGATGTGTCAGCTCTGCCACAGATAAATTCGCGTGGGGCCGTGCCCCATTGTGCCCACCGTGCGGTAGAAATTGCGACAGATGCAACACGCCGCCCCTTGGGAGCTTCTGGGGGGGGGCACCCTGGAATGCGATACTTCCAACAAGCAGGACCAGTGGTCCGCAGGACTCAGAGCAGGCGTTCACGGCATTGTGGCGCCGCTGCGCGTTGATAAGTTCATGTGTCGACAGCTTCTTAGACGAGCCCGAAGCGCCCGACAGCCTGACCGAGGTGCCGTCGCTGCTGGTCAACCGCTCCGCCAATGACCCGTTACCAGTAGTTCCAGGCGTCGGAAACAATCAAGCAACATTCATGCAGGACATGTGGTTTGACCCCCCCGTCTCCGCCCACATGCAGTGGTGGTTTCGGACCTTCCGATTTGGGGCATCCGAGTGGCCTTCGAGGAACGCGCCAGCTTTGAATTGCGGGGGGAGGGGGGGAGTGTTTCTTAATTTCTCCCCTCAACCGTCGGCGCCTCCATTCAGGCGATCGCAAACATGGATCAAGGGGGCGTGGATTAGCGACGGGCCCCGTTTCCATGGGAGATCGCGGATTTCCGCCGCCCAGCGAGGCGGCACCGGCCGCATTCTGGGGAGGGCACCTCCCCGGATCCATGGATGTGGCGACCGCGCGCCAGATCCATGGATCGCTATTCCATGCTTGCGCGCCCCGGATCCACGGCCGTCCACGGGCCCCGCGGCGCTGGACTCCTCGGGCCGCGGGCCCCACGGGTCGCGCGGCATGCGGGGGCGGCCCTGCGCAGGCGCCCCGCCCCCCGCGCGCACAGCGCGCCTTCGGGAGTGTTGCCAACAGTGGGGGTCCATGCCAAGAGACGCCCTGCTTGCCTCCAGGGTACCCTGGGCTTCGTAGGTTTCGGTGATTTTGCGAAGGAGAGCGTGGCGTGCCCACGCCAAAAATATCCATGGACGTCCTGGAGTCTCAGGGTTGGGTTTCTTGTGGGAGGTTTCTTGTGGTCGGGCCCCTACTGCCATTTCTTCCCTCGACCCTCTGGGGCCCACGGCTCAGCCCGCGTCGTCGTCTGCTGGCGTTCCCCTCCCCCCTGCCCCCCTTGGTGCTGCTGGACAGCGCACAGCCTGTCTGGGCCTCGCGTGGCGGCGCGCCGATTCTTCTAGTCGCCGTTCGATGGCGCCCTCGCTCCTGGCAGGGGCGGCTACCTCTTGCCACTGCGCCCAGCTCTCTTCGCACGTGTCGGGACCTCGCGAGCTGCGTCGGCGATGCCGCCCCATTTGCTTGCGAAGAAGACTGTGCCAGCGGGCGCCGCGTACCATGGCAGTCTTCGAGGTGGGCAGAGGGTGGCGGAGACGAGGGGCCAGTGGGCCAAGGCGAAGCTCCAGAAGCAAGCGCTGGAGCATGGCTAACTGACTGTCTGAAGTCACGAAGGCAATCGAGCCGCTCAGCGAAAAGTGAATGATGCCGCCAGCACAGGACATTCATTCCCCGGGAGCTCCGTCAACACATCTCGGAAATGTTCAGCCATAGCCACCCTGACTCAGACGAATCCCGAAACACAGATTTTCGAGCACACCAAGCGGTGCATGGGCATGCGTGCGAAGGTGATGCGTCCCGACCATTATGCCGCATGCAAGATTTGGTGCGGCGGCGGAAGTCACTGCCAAGGCGATGGCGTGGAAAGAATACCAGTAAGTTTGCGAAGGCGCTCGACGTCGCCATGGCCGAGCCAGAGTCCAAGAGGTTCATCGACGCGGCGTGTGAGAAGGACTCCCCGACGATATTGTCGTTGGAAGAGGCGGCAAACGCTGGGGCCTGCTTGATCATAGCTGCTTCGCACAACTCTACAACATAGTGGCCATGCGCGCCAGACTGCGCATGCGAGAGAGCGTCGTGAAGATCTGCGCGCGGGAGCGCAAGAAACCACTTATGTCAGCCGTCAGAGGCGGTGTATTTAACACGGTAAAAAAGAAGCGGGCAATTGCGGGCAACGACGGCGATGGGGTCACCAAGGTTGCAACGCATCTGGTAGATTGCGTTTTTTACAGAACTGTCTCTGCTTCGGGTAAGTAGCTCTCGTCCAAAGACGAAATTGCTCGAGGCCGAGGTGCCAGCTCTCACCGAGAACCTGGCGGGGGCCCAGAGGACGACCGAGTATCATTCGGATGTGCTTCTCTTCGGCGGGACCTTCGCAAGAGACGTCGAGAGCGGGCGCGGAGTCGACCCAACGAGGTGGGTGCAGGGCCGTCTGCACCGGGGCCCCAGTCACCTCCCACGGCATGGGGTAACGATTCGGGCACGCGATCGGGCATGTCACATGCCGCCCGAACGTTAGACCAAAAGCGATGCCAGAAGCTTGAAGCGAAGCATCTCGGACCGAGGCCATGCCTTCCCTGGCCGCGGCCGCGCCGCCTGCAGGATTGCAGGCGCGCCCGCGGTGCCTCCGCCGCGACCGCGGCTAGATGGTTCGGAAGACGGGGGGATCGGGCGCGAGGCAGACGTGCGTACATCATGAGAAAGAGGAGGAGGAGGAGGAGGAGGAGGAGCAGCAGAAGCAGGATCAGAAGCAGGATCAGAAGGGGAATGAGGCAGGAGGAGAGAGGAGGAGGGAGGAGGAGGGACGGGGAGGGAGGAGGAGGGATACCGGTATCTCCTCATGGTCGGCCGTGCCCCTCCCTCCCTCCCTCCCTCCCCTTCGCCCTCGTCGTCTCGCTCGCGCTCCCCTCCCCTTCTTCTCTTCGACCTCCCCCTCAACATCCTCCTCTTCGCCCTTCCCCTCCCCTCCTCCTCCTCTCCGCCCTCCTCATTGCAAGGAGCTTCCGCCCGAGCGTCCGTTTTGGCACACTCCGCCGCGCCTCGCGCCTCCACGTGGTGCTTGGGAGCAGCAGGTCTGCCGTGCGCCATTCCTCCGAGGGCTGTCGGTGTGGCCGTCGAAGGGGAGGAGCCCTGCGCCAGACCTTCGGGTATCGCTAAGGCCTTGCGGCCGGTGCCGCCGACCCCGGAGGCCTCGGCCCCCGACGGACACGGGAGGGAGAGGGCGCTCCCGACACGCCCTGGGAGGGTGGTATTCTGACCGGGGACCAACCCCCGGGACCGCCCCCCGGGACCCCCCCCTCCTCGGGGAAGTGGCCGTCGAATTGAGGAACCCTGCGCCGGACCTTCAGATATTTTCAAGGACCGAGCACAACGCTTTTTAGATTGGTTGTTGCACCTGTTGTGTTTTTCGATGTGTTGTTCGTTTTTGTTTTGAACTAATTTAAAGTTTAAACGTTCTTTGGGGGGGCGCAATATTTTACGCTCTTCTTATCCCCCTTTCCTCTTCCTGCGCCTGCCTCTGGCGCTCCGGGGCAGGATTTTTTGGGGGGCGCAGCTTGCCTTGCCAGTTGCTTCGCCAGCTCGCTGCGTTCGGCTTCGTCTCACTCGGGAGGAAAGGGCGGAGGCAACGATAGGGGGGATAGGCATAGGGGGGGATGCATCGACCCCAATCGCTCATTGATCGCCGATAGGGACCTGATAGCCCCACCCCACCCCAGGAAGGTGCGGATTCACTATCGGGGGCCTATCGCCGATCTATCGACGATGTATCGTCGATTCCAGGTCGATGCATCCCCCCCTATGCCTATCCCCCCCCAATCCCTGCCCCTCAGGAAAGAACGGGGACGGTTCTGCGGCAGGGTCGCTTGCCGACTCCCTGGTTTGAGTTCGGATTCCATTTGGCGTTTGCGATGTCCCCCTCCCTGCACTTCCTCCGCCTCCTTCAACATTGCGCCAGAAAGCATTCACGGGTATGACTCGGACACGTGGCGATGTCGCGGGTGTGCCGCAAGTGTGTTCGTTGGACCAGTCAAATTCTGTTGGCCGAAAGGGGGCACGGTGCAGATTGCTCGGCCCTTGCCCGTGCCGCCCTCGGATTCGAGGTCACGCACGGGGTAGCGAAATTATCCGCGCTTCGTGTCGGGCGACATGGGCCGGAGAGCTTCTCTTCTCCAATGACGGGGCGCTCGCGTAAATGGACCAGGGTCCTTTCGAATTTGTTTCGCAAATATTATTGGGAATCTCTTTCAAATTAGAATCCGACCCTCCATCCCTCCAAACTCCGCCGCAGGCGCCCGGAATAATAATAATTTCAAATTGCGGCATTACCCCCAAATTGGAGGCATACCCCCTGGATTTGCCCAGGACCCCCCAGGAATCTTAGGGGCCCTGACGGATTCTGATGGATTCTGTTGGTTTTTGGAGCCCCGTCCTGGAGGCTTCCTCCCTGGACGCTCTCTCGGAGCCGTTTCGGGCCGTTTTGGGAAGCCGCTTGGGCTGTCTCGAGGCCATCTTAGGTCGTCTTGCGTCGTGGGCCGTCTTGAATCGGTCTTGGGCAATCTTGGCGGCCCTGGTGGCCTGTTTGGGCCAGGTGGCAGTCATCTTGGATTCCTCGGAGGGCGCCACTTGCATGTCTCGGCGCCGCATCTTGGACACCATCTGGTATCTGGAATCCAGATGACTGCCACCTTGGATTCCTCGGAGGGTGCCGGGCCATGTCTCGGACATGGCCCGGCACTGTTCGGCGCCGCATGTCCGTGCATGTCTCGGTGGCAGTCATTTTGGATTCCTCGGAGGGCCCCGTATGGAAAACGTATTGAGTGGCAATTCATCGCCTCATGTTGAGGCCCAGAATGCAAGTGAAACGATTGGATTTTGCTCGACCAGTTTTCTGATGACCCCCCCCTTCGTGGGTCACCTGGTGTGCTTGCGCCGTATCGAAAACGCATTGAGTGGCAGTGCCTCGCCTGATGTTGAGGCCCAGAAAGCAAGTGAAACAATTGGTTTTTCTCAACCTGTTTTCTGGTGACCCACCCCTTCGTGGGTCACCTGGTGTGCTTGCGCCGTATGGCAAACGTATTGAGTGGCAATGCCTCGCCTCATGTGGAGGCCCAGAATGCAAGTGAAACGATTGGTTTTTCTCAACCAGTTTTCTGGTGACCCACCCCTTCTCTGTCCCCAGAGTCTGCCCCTCGCAGGCCGCCCTTCACAGGCTTCCATAGGCTTCCCCCGATAGGCTGTCCCCCATCGGCAAATTCAGGGAAACCCTCCTTGCCACCCGCCCAGCCAAGAATAATTTACGTTGCGCGCCTCCCTTAATTCAAATTCACCCTCCATGCTAAAGCAGCAGGACCGCGCACGCCAAGAATAATACTTTGAAGCTTTTATTCTTCTTCGGAAATTTCAGGGTCACCCTGTAATTTCAAGCCACAGGCCGGCCCCAGAAGAATGATATTGAATTTAGTCTTGTTTCAGAACATATTGA